TTTTTTTTTTTATTCAAGAGTGCCAGAGTGTCAAACACCTGCATAACATTCTGTGAGCCCTGATAACTCTGAAACTGATTTATGTTGTTATACAACTGCAGCTGAGTGTAATCGGGATGCCATTATTTAGGTCATATGTATATGTCGGAATATGGTGGTGCTTTGAGATTGTTACAAATTGCAAACCACTTACTCATCACTACTCAATGGCAGGCTGGTTGGCCTTCTCTGACAATGCGTAGGTTTAGTCACTAAACTATCATTATTCATAAAGGCCAATTTTGGGTAAGCTTCCTTCCTAGTCTTGTTTCTATATTTATCAGCAATGTGGGCCTCATTATACTGTAGTCTGAAGACCTAGTGTATTTTTGCTGACTGTTTTTTTGCAGAAGAAACTTAAAACAAAAGGAATTTGCAACTGTGAGTGGGTTTAAGGCAACTGCCAGATCTACTGTATGGGAAGTAATTATTCTGATGACGGTTGAGGCTTTCGGTATACATTACTCATACATTTTAATGGACCTATCTCAGCTTCCCTCTGTTATGCTATTGCTTTTCTTCTAAATAAAATGTCTTCTTTGATTAATGTTAATAATTTGTATGACAAGAGTGAGATTCTCGCAGTAAATTAACATTGATTTTCTATCAATTACCTAATTTTCTGAAGATGTTTGTTCAATTGCACTCTTCTGATCTATGATGTATAGTAAGAGGACATCTTTTCAGTCAGAGAAAGGAATGTTTCATTTTCCCTCCAGTAGCACAAGCCCTTTGGTCTTGTTTGCTCAGCAAATTGGTGATTTACCAACAAAGCATCAAAGAACAATACCTGGGATTAGGTTCCAAGCCAACATCTCAATGTAGAGGCTCAGGGTTTTGTGCGGGGAGAATAGAGACACAACATTAAATGCTGGTGCTGTCCTCAGGATGGGGACACAGCGACAACCCCACAGCCTTGTTTCTTCTACTCTCTTTATATTCCCTCACTGTCACAAAAGTAGCAGCAGTGAATAGGGAAGTAAGTTGATAAAGAATCTTTCAAAGCTAGGACGAGACAGGTGGCATACCATCAAAGGCAATAAAACATATGGTACAGTGACAGCACATGCATCATTGCCTGCCTGCAAAAGCTACCAATTCTTTCTTTTATGCTGAAAGCTTTCTATTTTGTTTACTTGTGAAAGAAGAGTTCATAACTCTTTGAATTATTTAGACATTGTCAACACCGAGAGATTAAAGAATGAAATGCAATGGCACCGAGTGCAATAAATGACTGCTGCTTTACATACTGTATTGTTACACGGATATATAGAGGGCAGGTATTTAAGGAGTTAAGTGAACAGATAAAGTATCAAGTGGGCTTCCATCTGAAATGGCTCAGATGTTGGTAGCCTGCCTATGTCAATGGAAAACTAATGAAATATATAAATTATTTTTGACCAAAACATTTACTGGTGAGTAAAAAAAAAAGTTAAAATCAAGGTCATGAGTCATGCCTTTATAAGCTATCTCACACATTTTTGCATCTCTATCTTGTCTGAGAATGTGTTAATTGTACAACTAAGGTATTTTGGAAGCTTTGCAGTTTTCTTAGGAATGCAATATCACATCTTTTCACTGGTTGTTCAAAAACAGGGTAAAAGGAGGAAGACTAGGTAGAAGGTAGCCAGATAGTGCTTGGCATGCATCACATTAAGCATGGTGCACTGTGAATGTAAAAGTGTGCATATGTAAAGGATGTGTGTTTTGGCTAAGTGCAAACTGCAGCATAGCCATAATTCAGAGCAGCTTGTCCTCATTAAGACTTAGCGGTCCCTCCCACCGAAGCGCCTTACTCTGAGGGCAGCTTAGCCCTTTCATCCCCATTTTGATATGGACCTCAGCCCTGTCTCGCGAGTACCAGGGCTGTGATGGGGATGGCAGAGCCGCCCAACTCCAGGGACCTTTGGTTACCCTCAACATAAGCTGAGCGACATAAGGTCAGCTGCCTGCTGCGCCAACAAAGGTTACTGCCACTCACTCTCTCCAAACACCACCCTCCAACCCTATGCTATATCCACATTAGGATTGGCATGCCCATTTGCTACTTTCAGATCAACGCAATGGTGGGCTTGGTTGTTGCCGGATATAAAGTGCTATGAAATGGTGGCCACTGCAAAGTGTCTTTTAATAATTGTTCACTCTCTTTTCCGTTACCTATGCAGGGAGTTATTTCTTTTTTTGGTAAACAGAGCAGTCGACAGGCTTCTCAGTAGTTCAATAAAACAACCAGAAACACACAGCCTTCTACTAGGGATCAGCCAAATTCTGAGCTCTCTTCATTAAGAAAACTGACTTACAGGGCACTATCCATTAACCGTATGAAATGGAAATAGGCTTGAACTAATACCTTTAGTTGATTTAGTTCCTCCTTACAAATGTTGCAATTTCACCACCACAACAGGATCAAAGATAATACAGTGACAATCCACCAGATTGTGTTATTCTCAAAAGTTCATGACAAACCCAAAGACAAGTCTGTCAAGTTAAAACTGCCATTCTTGTGGCGGTCACATAAGCAGAGCATGAAGAAGATTTTTTGTAAATTGTATTCAGTCCAAAACTACTGGATTTTGTGGTGCCATTAAATACAGTCTTATGGGCTTCACCATAGGCTGCAACTTCCAGTCCTATGCGGGTAGACTTTAACAAGACCATGTGCTGTGTTTTCAGAGGTACTGTATGTACACATATTAATGCTAACCTGCTCTAATCCACAATTGCTGGTCAAGTGAGAGATGCATTTTCTCTCTAACTGATAATGTGACATTAGGCATAACATTCTTCCAGTGTATATATCATTAATTAATAATTAAAGCTCATAAACTTAATATTTTTTCAGTGTTGCATTATGTAGTTTGTGAAAAAAGGTGTAATAAATTAAGAAGGCTACACATTCATATAATTTGTCAGATACACATTGAATCAACATTAGGGTAAGTATTAAGTCTGCATCTGATTTACCCAATAAAGGACTCGGATAAGTGCGTAAAAATACTTACATTGAGACATCTATAGCTATTACCCAAACTGACTGTAAACATTCCAGATTTAACATACCGACTTTGTTGATCAGCTTTGACCTACACTTGATCAACACAGTACAAAATATCTACAGCCGTAGATGTGAGCACAGATCATTTTCCTTTGAATCAAGGAACTTTTCATGAGATATCACTCACCGTTTACTCTCCAAATAAAGTGAATTAGATAATCTGCCCAAAGTCTTGTTTTCATTGCCAGGCGTCTCTTTTCATTGACTTTGATCAGTTAAATGTCATCATAACCAATAAGAAAGGCCAAAGCTTCAAAGATATTACAAAGGTTGTGCTCAAATTGAAATGTCCGGTTAGGAGGAAACTGTGTTTGCTGGTTCCTAGGTGACCAACATGTTTGTCCATCGTTGAGTTTGTCTAGACTTTTGTTTTATAAGATGACCCAAACTCAGCTAACGTCATTCAAATTATACAACACAACCTGTCTTTCTATAAGATGGAAGAAACGTAGTACTTCACTGAGGCTCTGATGTTTATCCAGGATTCAAAGAACCCATCTGTTAAATCTGGAAAGACTAAAATGGCAAAGACATTTCTTAGTAAGACAGCACACACAGAAGCAAAATAGCTTCAGGGAAACTTTATAGCAGGAGCTAAAAAAGAGAAAGCGTGAGAACCATCTCCTCGTTGCAGTCCAGCAGGGAAATTGACTGGATGTTAAAGAGAGGGGGGAAAATACAGCACCCCGAGTGATATAGGACGGGGTATGAAGACAGCGAGAAAAGCAATTAGTGTTGCTAATTGCTCTCATTAGAAGAGATGGGGCTGATTCCGGACTCCATGATGGACATTGACTATTAAAATATATAAATATGGGCATCATGTCTGTGCAGTTTAAAATCCATGCAGCTGGTAGCTCTGTATGAGCAGCAGGGCTGATAAGACCAGACTTTATCTTCAATACAACTATCTCTATCATCTTTGCGATAGATATAAGGTAGAAATGACTTTTTAAGATAACATGATAAACAGCTGGAGGAAACTGAACAGAATGATGGAGTAAAAAGTGAAAGATAGATAATAGAGATAGATAGATAAATAGTTGAGGCAAGGGAACTATCTATCTCCCTTGCCTCAACATTTCTTTGGGCAAGAGGTTTTATCATTAATATGGCAAATAAATGTGTCTTGGCACAGTCATATAAGTGAGCCTTATGGTAATATTAATAGCACAATAATATAGACAACTCCTGTGATCCAGGTTTCCTTTTTTAAATCATATATCCCCCCACCCTGATAGTTTATGGCAGTTTATGGCACCTCAGCCACTCATTCTTCATCTTCTCGTAATCTAGTAAGTATCGACTAAACACCTATGAAAATAATCCACTCTGGGTGTTTAATGATAGCAGCCATTTTCTTTTAGAACACACCTAGTGGGCAGTGCTCCTGAGAAACAGAGGCCAACTGAAGGTGCAAAAACCCATGCAAACTAAGACTTTTTCTTGTGCTTCACAGCAACTTAAACATAAAAGGTTATTAGAGTGTGAGGTTCTGTGTAACCATGTTCACAAGGTATGCCACATCAAAGTATACAAGAGCACATTGATGTTAAAGGACTTCTCACAGCAGGATGAAAAACAACTTGTGATGTGTGTCAGGGGGATGGTGTGCAATAGGGCATATGCAAAATGAAATGAAATGTAATTCACAAGAAATATCTCTTTCCTCCTCCAACTGTGAGCAAGTGATATCGGCTCTATCTTAAAACAGTGTAATCGTGTATCATTTGCTGCTGAATCCCTGATTGAGTCCAAGAAGTGGAATGACAATAAAGCTCTCACTCTCCAAATGAGTACCAAGTATAATTGGTAGTTAAAGATTGTACTCTGCTGGCTATACTTGTACACCTGCTTTTCACTCATTGACTCTCAAATATCTTAAGCAATCAAATTGCCATCTTACCTCTCGATGATGTCAGCGATGACACACGCAAACATCTGCAGGCCCTCTGGAAGCTGCAGAGCAACTGGAGAGAAAAAGGCAAACAAAAAAGTATGAACTTACTTCCTGGACAGCGTATAGATAGCCTCTGCTACAGTTTGGAAGTTATCCACTGACAGTATATAGTCAATTCAGGTTAATTTCCCGTCTCTATCAGAAGTACTGTTGGTTTAGCTTAGCTTGTGATGTTTGAAATAAAGTCGAAACCAATCCGCACAGGTCTATCTGTCCACAACAAGACTTATACAGAGACAATAAACTCTCTCTGATGCCCGTCTCTTTCACTTTCACTCTTTGCTAGCGAATCAAATAAACCCCATCCCATCACCAGCTATACAAAGTCAAAGCTAGAATGTATATGGAAAAACTTCTGCTATAAGCTAAATTAATTGGTCTGACTCTTGCTGGTGGTGCTGTGCGCTGTCAACAGGAGACGTACTAATCTACTGATGTGTGCCACCAATTGAAATCAACCAGTGGAAACAACTCCTAGGTAGGGATTCACTCACTCTGCATCAAGAGACTGCCATGTTTTTTTAATTACAAAGGCAGAAAGGCCCGGAAGCTTTTTAACAGCTTGATGTCTGGAGATGTCATGTGAGATTGTTGGATTTCATGCTAATGTGAACACAGTGATCAGTATTGCATGAAATACTTTCCAACTTCAAAAGCAGTTGCAGAAATGTTGTTGCAGACAAAGAAAATGTATCTAACATGTTTTCTAGGAAACTTTTGTTTTTTTATTAAAAAAAATATACCTATTATATTTTAGAAATAACAAAAAAGAAAAATTAAGTTAAAAAAATATATAGATAAACATGGTGGGCAGCATATCCATCCCCAACCATTACTAACCACAAACACCAAAGATATGTAACACGAAATAAATCAATATACAGAAGAAACAAATAGCAATGTTAAAATAAATCTGGTTTGAAGTAAAGAAGGTACAGACACACATTTTTTTGTTGGAGCACCATGCTTGATACAAAAGAGCTAAATACCCTTTCTGGCGGCAAAAGTCAATAAATAGAAAAAGCTGTGTGTTTAATATTTAATACAAGTGTCTAGAAGACCAAGCAGCAGAACATAATATCCAACTCTATTGGAAAGATCAGATATACAGTAGCACAGAGTTCATCCACAAAGATTAGCAGCTTTTGGAGCTTCAAACTGAATCAGAACATTAACCGGGCTCTCGGTCTCAGAGGCGGCGTTACATGTATACGATCTGGAATTCCTAATTAAGTAAATGAGGTCTAATTACAGATACATATCTCTCAAGCATGGTTCCACAGTTTCTGCTCGTAGGTCATCAATAGTGATTCGCAAGTCTCTCTCGCTTCCTATATAATTTGTAATAAAAAGTACAGTGCTTTGAGAAAGGCTTTCATTTAACATGTCTATAAATATTGAAAATTGTTTCAGTTTGACATGGCCAAATTAAGACCTCAAAACCAATCGAAAAGGTTTCAGCATCCTCATCTCAGACCAACTGAACTGCACCTTTTAAGCGTTCCTATCAGCATCATAATCAGCATGTTTTATTTTTATTGGAATTCAATATAGATGAAAATCGTAATGTCCGTTGGGAATTACTTAAGAGATATAGTATCTCTTGTGGTTTTGCAGTAAAGATCCTATATAATTTGGTAGATCAAGAATCCATGATTTAGTATACATTAGTCCTGTCATCTGATCATCAAATAAACGATGGAAAAGACGGGTGACAGAGTGGAGATTAATAAGGAAAGAAAATACGGGGCTGTGAGATGAGGCACTATAATGAAAATGCAGAGTGACGTTTTGTATACCGATTCTTAATGCAAATCATTTTTATCTCATTGTCCATTAATCTGTTCAGAGTTACATCTCAATTAATTGATTATTCACATGATCTATGGATTATCAGAAAATAGTCATACATATTTCCCAGAAGCCAATGTAACCAATGGCCAACCATGTAAACTCAGAGACTCAATTTCAAGGGAAGTTGAAGAGAAAAATAATTCTCACACTGGAGAATCAAGAACAGGGGTGTCCAAACTTTTTTCACTGAGGGCCACATACAGAAAAATATACGAAGGACTGGGCCACTCACTGGAGGTGAGGTATATTGCCTCGTAAGTTCAGTTATAAGTTAGCTAAATGTAGGTAAATTAGGCTTGATACATGAATAAGCTTTGAGCCTTCATCACAGCTCTCTATAGGGTTTCATTTATCTTGTTGGCAGCTCATCCCTTAAAACAGAAGCCTCAGAGTGATTATAATAGGAGGAAATAAGAAGGGTCTATTTCAAGCTTGTTATGTAAATAAGTTATTGGGCTTTTTTAGAACATGTTTTCAACTTTAATTGACTGAATGTATTGGCTTATTAACACATGAACACTACTGTGCTATATATTTTTACCTATATATTTAAGAAGTATATAATAATATAAGAAAAGCACAAGTTTCATGTGTTGGCCATATTTCATTATACTTTTTGAATTTGCTGAGGGCCGATTCAAAAAGGCCCGCGGGCCGCAGTTTTGACATCCATGATCTAGAACTGTAATGTTTGTTAATATTATTTGGTCAACTTTAATCAATTATAAAAATACATCGAAATTGAATTCTGTTAATTGATTGATGCATTGACAGTTTCAATAAAAATGGTCAGGTCAGGTCACTCCCGTAGCCCGAGGGACGTTGGGGCACTTTGATGATATCACCGAACGTCTCCACACCCCCTGATGTTAAGCCAGTCTCATGCACTCCACCACCTCTTTCCCTGTCCATCTCTTAATATCTGTCAGCCATTGAAATAATAAAAATAAAAATGCTTTCTAATATAACAAATGTGGCTTTTGAAACATTGAAATTCAGTTTTGTAATTCAAGGTTTCATGATGTTATGAGATTTTACAAACATGCATTCACAAGTTGTCCCCCAGTTCAGTAGGAAGTCCCAGCCACATGGAGCGAGCTACCGGAGAAAAAGGCTTTGTTTCAATCATCCATCACATTTTCTCCTGGTCCAACTCTGCTGCACCTTACTTCAATGAATCCATCAATGTCTCAGTAGACACTTACAAATACGACAGACACGGAAATTCCGCGCAGTGTTTTCACATGACTAGGCCTGAAACAAATGTAAGACTTCAGGGCCAGACAGCATTAAACATTAAAAGTTGGGACAGACAAAAGGTTGAGGGTGGATGGCCATGAGATGGAGTGATAGATGGGGCGGTGTGCAAAGGAGGAGCGAGAGAACTTCTTACTGATGAAAGGTTAAGGGATCACCAAGCGCTCATGCAGACAGAGAAAGACAGGTCATTACCTAGAAAAGGGCAAGTTTATTAACACAGAAAGGTTTCAGAGCACACCTCTGCCAGAGCTGACAGAAGCAAAGAGCTCCCTCCATCTGTTGCCTCTGGCTAAATGTGAGTTATAGGCAGGAGATTGGGCTGGCTGTTTTAATGCATGTTTGAGTTTTCACGCAAGAATGATGAGCTGCTTCTACCTTTGGAAGTGCACTCCTGCCCCCACTAAATGGAGAACCTAAACCACGCATAAATACAATTTGACAAGAAGAGTTAATCTAACTGCTTCACATGTTCATACCGCTAACAACTCAAATAAACAAAATGGGAGTTTTCTTATTCTTAGAGACATGACACTTATGAACCACTGACAAAAACGTCTTGTTTACATGAACTGTCAATCATCTAATGATATGGTTTTATAACATACCTACAGTACAGTTGTAACACTCCGGGAGGTAGAAAGAAAGCTACATGTGGGATGATTTTAATAATCAAAGACAGAAAGTAAGATCAATTTGAACAGTAGACTGAACGGATTACTCTGAATTTTTTTAAAGGGGGTTATGACTAGGAAGATTAGAATAGGGCTATATGCAGGGTTTATCCTGTAGTAAATAACATTTTGGGTTTGTTTATGCACATGGTAATGTATTTCTGTTTTCTGTGTTCACATACTGTACGCCTACAATCAAGATGTAAAAAATGGACAAAATAATAATCAGTAACACATCCAAGTAAGTCAGATGCCAGTTTTTTAGTACACCTAGCTAAAATAACTCATCTTAGCAATATTAGGCTTGTAATGTTCATTTTTAGTTGTAACTATTTTAAAAGAGCTCTAACTTTGTCATATTGGAGGCCACAGACTGCAGTATTGCATGAACCTTTTTATATATAATATATCAAGAATGACCAATACAATCTGAAATGACTAACCAACCTTTCAAATTGCCCCACACACATTGAGACTTAATATTATGAATTCAAATGTTGTAATCTTTAAAGCATGTATTTACATAAATAAACATGAATTTACATTTGAACTAAAAGTTAATGGAAGTCACACAAGCATTTCGTAACAATATGTATTTTCCATTAATAAGGCTATATTCAGCAAACACATTCATCCGCATGTGCATGTCCAGTCTGTAGATACTGTACTTCTGACTCATTTCTGCCTTAACTTTCCACTGGCAGCGAACTCTCTGTCCTCGGACATGTTTTCTATAAAGGAACACGCTGTTCAGACAAGAGGATAAAAGGCCACTTGGAGTGCCTACTGGAAAGTTGTTATGTATTTGGAGATGAATGAAAACGGCAGCTTCTTTATTAAGGGATGCACAAAGAGACTATTTACATATTAAGAAAAACAAGTGACCAGCCACTTGTTTGCCCGTGTTCTGTTTACCAGGGAGGCAATATTTGATGCATCGCTGGATTGTAGTTAAAGGTCCCATGACATGGCCATTTCTACTGATCATAATTCCATTGTTGAGGTCTACTAGAATAGATTTCTATTGTGCAATTTTCCAAACTCACATTGGTTTCTCACAGCATCTCTGTATAGTATGTGTATTCACTCTCTGTCCTAAACGGCTTGTTGGAGCTCCTGCCCCCCCCCCCCCCCTCCCTATGAGCCCACTGTGCTCTGATTGGTCAGCTCGCCCACTCTGTTCTGATGAGTCCACCACCGTTACAGCGGAACATCAGTGATTATG